GAGATACTGAACTGTATAAAACCAGACAAATCACTAGAAGCCAAAATCACAAGACTACATCTGATTTACTTTGGCAATGACATGTGTGCAAATTCCTTGCAGAAATCAGTGATGCTAGGAATGGTTAATAGACCAAGAAGAAGGGGCAAGCAAAGAACTTGCTGTCCTGATATCATCAAAGCTGATACAAAGATGAACATCCAACAACTGAAAGAAGCTGTGCTGGGTAGCATGGAGAGCACTTGCGTATAAAATTGCCAAGAGTCGGACACGACAGAATGGTTAAAACAACAATATACCGACCATTTCACGATTGAGTAATTCTGGGTGGCTTACAACACAATAAAAACAAAAATATATAAACATTAAAACATTGAGAAACAATAACATGTTAAAATTAACAGAAATTGGGTAAACTGGGAACCAACACATAAACAGGGTGGGGGTGAGATGTTCTTCTTATAAGCTCTTTTCATGAGCTCTTCTAAACATAAAAGGGTGGATTTCTGTGACTGTGACAATAACTGTACTTACGCTGTATGTACAGAGAAACCAGTGGCCAAGAGAGGCTCCAGTAAGGAATTGGTACTTCTGTTTTTTCTCTTGTTTAAGACCTTTGAATAGAGCTGAGTCTCAGCTGCCGCCATCTCTTCCTTTCCTTCTGTAAATGTGTGTATAGAGAAAGAGAGGCAGAGTCTGCTAAGATAAAATCAAACCCTCAAAACCTCCTTCAGTCTTTTTGACACAAGCTGATATCCTGTTTTTACAGAATGCTGTGGTTCTTACAATTATTACAGTAGGCAGACTACAAAGAGGGGGAAAAGGAAAGTAGAATTTTTATATACGCGGCTAGGCAGCAGATTCGGTATGACTTATATTGCCTTTGAGTTAGTCTTGGGTCCTGGAGATAGCCTGGATTAATATCTGCATGTTCCTTGGCAACATTTTGGAATGGTTTGCCATTGCCTCCTTCCTAGGGCTTAGAGAGAGTGACTGGCCCAAAAACAAAATTAGAGGATGTGGTTGGTGGTATCTTTGGTGTCTGCACCCAACTAGCTCTCTTTCAGCAGGAATTACCAATGAATTAGCTACATTCCATATTACTACATGTCAGTGTTTCCTGATTTGTAATTCTTTTTACTGAACTCTATGGCAGTCCAGTTTCAATTCCCCCAAAGATGTTCAGAAACACAAATACAATGCATTGTCTGTCTGCAAGGATTTAAAATACCTGCCCCTTTTCCTGGAGCCATGTGGCATTTGCAGAGCACAGCCAGATTATCCTTGGAAAAGGCGTGATTGCTTCAAAGAGCTGCAGGAAGGTACTACATTCTCATCCCTGTATGTTCTGCATCATATTTTTCAAATCAAATCCAAATTACTGTGGAGTCCTATTCATTTATTCAAAAGCAGTTTAAAACAGCAGGAATTATATATTGTTTGTTCCTATTAAACAATATAATGAGAGATGGATTTATTTTGATTTTTTATTATTATACTCTCTTCTTTAAAAAATAAAGACAAAATACATAACTTATATTAAAGTGAAATAAAATATTGGCAATTTAAATGCGACAAAAACCCAACCAATAAGGGAACCCTGCAAAAAAATCACCTTACAGAAAACAAAGCATGTGTGACTGCAGTCTTACAGATAAGCAGCTCATAATGAGTCTTACTAAAATCAGTGGAGCTTTTTTCTGAATACGTTGAAGGATAATGCTGTAAGTTCCTTATGGGTTAGGTCCCACTTAGTCTTCCTCCTATTTGTGATCCTAAAGTGTCAGTGTTTCTTGCAAAATCAAATCCAGAAAGCACACACAGGCAGACTGATGCAGTAGGATTAACTTCTTTATATATATATAATAATACATGAAGATAAATGTACAATACCAATAAAGATTCTCCTTACAAGCAAAACACAAGGCAGGAGAGAACAGTTAGTTGCATTTCAGCAGAGCAGGCTAGTTTCAGTTTCTCTGCACAGACTCAGAAGCTACAGACTAAGACAGCCCTGACTCCAGTCTGTCTCAGCTCCCAAACAGTCCTCATTGGCTGACTTAGTTGCTATGCCTATAGGACATGGTAACATGGCTGACCTTGTTACCATGTCCTATTCCAGTTGATGAATATGCTCTGACATAAAGCTTTTCTCCAAGAGCTCCTAAATGACTTAAGGTAGAATAGAATACTTGGAAGATATGTACTGCTATCTTCCAAGTATTCTTGCTGAATTTTTAGTAATGACACTATAATTAAGAACCACTGTTGTTCTGAGATTATTTAAGACATAAAACACCCTTCTGACAATTCTTGGAAAATATACAATAGGTGTACTCATCAAAGCTAATGACAAGGCTTCCTAGTAAAATTAGAATTAAGTCAATGATCTTTCAGGAAAAATATAACTTCATCCAAAACATAATGTCCCCTTTCCAAAGTAGATAAATGCTGTGTTCCTTGAGTCATAATCTTATTTGGTTTGTTTGTTTGTTTTTTGTTCTCTTCCCACTCTTTCACACTGTATATTCTATGTTCAATCATCATTTGTAATTAAACTCAGGAAGTTGATTTATGGTAGATGGGAATCTGCACATAGAATCTCCAGATGTTCTGGAGTACAGTAGATTCCCCATAATCTCTGACCACTAATTTTGCTGACAACCACTAATGGAAGTTGTTGGCCAAGACATATGGATAAACCCAGGTTGGAAAAGTTTAATATTCCCTGATATGACAAACTGCTGTCCAGGGTTTTAAAAAGGAGACAGGACCTCCTGCTTGCATTCTATTGCTGAGCAAAAGTTCTTCTGAAAATGCTGGGTCAAAATCCTACTTATGAATTTCAGAAAAAATACTAATTCATCCCTGCTGATGTGCATAACTTTTAATTAGTATATGAGTATTCAATTGCACTCTTTTCTGGACCATGAGACCTTGGCCACAGTCACTCATTCCTTGGTCACTTCCTGTTTGGATTACTGCAATGTGCTCTACAAGGGCTGTCCTTGAAGACCACCCAGACACTTCAACTGCAGCACGCACAGTAATGGGGGTCCCTACATTTGCCCATGTAACACTTCTGTTGTATGAGGTGCACTGGCTTCCAGGGTTTTTTTTCTTTTTTCATTTGGTGCAATTAAAAGTGCTGGTCATCACCTTTAAATCCCTATATGGTAAGGGCCAGGCTAACTGCAGGATTGGCTTTTTCTAAGGATACCTACCCATTTTATCAGGTCAGTTAGGGTGGCCATGCTCCTGGTCCTTTCCCCTAAATATTGCCATCTGACTGGAGCTTGGAAGTGTGCCTTTTCCATGGCAGCCCTTGCCCTCTGGAACACTCTGCCTCCTGAAATTTGGCAGGGACCTTCCTAGCTTTTGGTAAAGCTTTAAAGTCCTGGCTTTCCCCCAAAGTGCTGGGATAAGATTGGATGACAGCACATTAGAAGTCTGACTTGGTGCAATATTTTTATTGTTTTTAATGTTTTAATGTGTTTAGCTTTATAGTTTACTTTGATTTTATTTGTCTTTTGGTCTTTTATTGGGAGCCACCCAGAGTGGCTGAAAGATGGGTGACTATATAAATGTTTTAGATAGATAGATAGATAGATAGATAGATAGATAGATAGATAGATAGATAGATAGATAACAAACTACATCTTCGGTTGCCAGAATCTCTTTATTTATGTCTCTCATACTTGTGAGGTAATGTAATAATTATCCTATAAAATAGAACACTTCTCCAATTTGCCAATTTGCAACTTTTGTTGATGTAGTACAAACAGAAAACTTATCACTCTTTATTGCCCGGTTTAATCATTGAACATTTCTGCTGGCACCCACTGAGGTAAACAATAAATGTCCTTCTCTGCGAGACCCATTGTCTTAAAGGTTTTTTTTTACATAAGACAAAAAACAAAAACAAAAACATACAGTCACTGGCAGTACTCCAATTGTCCATTTATCTAAATATTTTAATTGGTGTGAAGCTTTTCATACACACTTCATAATTCTTTAATTTCCTGCCCAGACGCAGGATTTACATGCATTGCAAAAGATCCTGGATCTGGTTATAGGTTTATGACAGGCAGGGTTTTTTTTATTGACTGTTCAGTATCTCTGAAACTACCTCTCCTCTCTGTTGTATGAGAGGCTAGAGACAAATAATGTATTAGGTGTTATTAGCTATCATCTCAGTGGAATTTCTACTAAAGACTATCTGACCAACCAAATTTATTTATTTATTTATTTATTTATTATATTTCTATACCGCCTTTCTCCCGTAGGACTCAAGGCGGTGTACAGTCAAGAAAAATATAGACACACAAACATCATAAAATTGCTAATTAAAATTGTTACTTAGTTTGGTCAATTAAATAAAACCCAGAATTAGATAATATTTAAAAAATCATTCGCATGTTTGTATGTTTAGCCCTGCCTGTTGGAACATCAGGGTCTTGAGGGCACGGCGGAAAGCACGGAGATCAGGGATATTCCGTATTTCCGGGGGCAGTTCATTCCAAAGGGTTGGAGCCCCCACAGAGAAGGCCCTCCCCCTGGGAGTCGCCAGTTGACATAATTTGACTGACAGTATCCTGAGTAGTCCCTCCCTGTGAGAACGAACTGGTCGGTGGGAGGCTATTGGTGGCAAAAGATGGTCTCGTAGGTACCCAGGTCCTAAGCCATGGAGCGCTTTAAAGGTGATAACTAACTTTAAAGGTGATAATAATCCATTTAAACTGTTTTGCCTGAAAAGTAAAGGCTGTAGTTTCCAAGATTTTTGAACATATTTGCATCTACCTCAAATGTTCCCTTCCCTTGGTTACAATTAATTAATAGGACTGGCACCTTTTTACCTTCCTGGCCTTTGGAACAAAGCCATTCTAGGCCACCTGATATCTTTGGTCTGATTGAATTACATTAACACCAGTCATAGGATCATCTGTGCAAAGAGTCCATTATCAATTCCTGAAGGGTCGGTGAACCTATTTGCAAAGAATACTGTGGGAGTTTTGGCTAAATAACCTTTATAATGAAAAGAGGGAACATTCAGGCTTTTCAGGATGAGTTCAGTGGAACAGGTAAGTGAAACCCAGGAAAGAAGAAAGAGGGTTAAAATGTCTTTTTTTTTTCTATTTTCCATTGCGTGTTACAATTTGGAAACTTGTTTCTTTGACTATTGCTGGTTCTCTCCACAAAGTCCCCGTAGAGAGAAGTAGACAGGAGCCAGATGAGGGCAACTCTTTTTGAACTCATATGATGGTGTAGAAAGCTTCAGTCTAGCATACAATAGATTGTGTACCCGGTTATTTCTGATTGTAGACAAGTCTTTGAAATCCAAATGCGCTAAATGAGAGGGGTATAAGAGCACATTCATTCATTTCCATAGTACCAGACTGTTGCAGGAAAATTATCACCTGTTAACCCAGCTTCATATTCAGCTCTCCACTGGATTTCTTCAACCAATAGTTGAATAGGTTCTACCATTGGGCAATGCCATTTTCAAATCAGTGAGGATTGTGGGTAGAGTATGAATTTATTTAGGAACAGGTATCAACTCTATGTGCACAATGGAAGAATTTTCCCCAAGAAAATTTCATGTACATACCAAAAGAACTAGTTCAGAGTAATGGAAATAATGTTAGTGCTAAGGACTTGTTTTATTTAACTTTTTTTTTTGCATAATCATAATCATGCTATGAGCAGGACAAGGTGTGAAGGATGTAACCTTCTTCAGGAGGAAGAGAAGTTACAGGGGAAATGAATAAAAAATCCTTTGTCTTCCCATTTCAGATATATCTTTGCATCAGCTATTTCCATGATTTCTATTATAGTTTTTACAGACAATATTAAACTGAAACATTATTTGTTCAAGAAACACTTTGAAAAGAAATGGTATGCATTTAAGTAGGTCATATTTAAAATATTTGCACATAATTAATCTACACTAGGGGTGAGATTTGATTTATCATGTACATATACTTAATGCTTATGCTCGGTTTTCATATGCATTACTTAGCCAGAATCCTTCCAACAATCCTGAAACATAAGATAGACTTACTATGCCACAGTTGATTATGGGACTCACAAGACATATGTACCTATCCTGATCTAGGCCCCAAGAACAGATTCCAGTCTTGATGCCACTGAAATTGCTTCTGCTGCAGAAGATGAACTGCCAGATTCTAATATTTGTTTCTGCTACGAAAGGATACTCTGTATACAGCAAGCAAAAGTAGATCACAGTGAAAATGAAAATGGTAAGAAGCATAGAATTCTTTGATGTAATACAGTATAGGTTGTTGCCTCTCCAAATCTTCTTTAAGCCCTGTACTCTTCCTTTTTATACTAATATTTGTTTTTTTTTCTTTCTTCGAGCAAACATGTCTGAAATATTTTAGCTCGACTGGTTTTAGAAGGATAGATACCAGGAAAACTGAAAAGTCATGGTAGAATTAAAAAGAGAATGGTATCAGTGAACACATTCATTACTATTCAGGATCCTTCTTCCTGAATTTGAATGAAAGAATGGAAATAATAGTAATAGTAAAAGAATTCTGAAAATTATTGACAGCTCTGCCTTGAATATCTGTGCCTTGAGTTCTGTTTATGAATTGTATATAGACAGTTTTCAAACCTTTCAGAATAAAAACAGATAGTAGCATCTTTGTTGGAATAAGTCTTCTACAAAACAAGCATAACATTTGTTTTGGGGACACAACCATGATGTAGATTTGGGGTTCTCTCTCCACCCTTGTTTTGTACTTAAGCTCTTGGTTGTTTTAAGATTATATAAGTGATTTTTTTCTTTTCTCTTACTTTCTTTTAATAAATGAATATTTTGAAATTCATGATAGCCATTTATGAATATTCAAAAGTCCCATCATATGCAAATTCATTTTTTTGTTCTTGTTTCTGATAATGTTCTCGATTGTACAATTCACTGTGGTCTGTTTTCTGTTGCAACTTTTCAAAATTAAATCATACATACTTTGTTTAGAAATAAAGTATTGATGGGAGGTGAGAATGAAATACTGTTAAAAATACTATAGAAAGAAACCCATGTCAGTGCATAGTATCCAAAAGTCAGAGGGTGCCTGTGAAGATATAATCCTGCTACATTAAACCTTGCAACAAAACCAAGCATCTACTTTCCCTACACATTTATACCAACATCATGAACTCCAACGACTTTACACACTAGCTTCACATGCTCTTTCTCTAATGGGATATATGCCACTATCTACTAGCAATGCCTTTCTGATTCTACAATAGACAGATCTTGTGTCAAAGAACTAATGGACACAAATTTGATATCAGGATTCAAATAAGGACAAAGGTAATCCAGGACACTCTAGGTTAAAGATCTCAGGGTAACTGTTTTGGAAGATAGAAGCCATACCACAGAGTGAGAGGCTGTGGAGCTCACATACATCAAAAAAGGCTACTTTAAAAGGCCTTAAGAAAAGCTTTTTCAACATATTACAAATGCTATTTGAAGAGGTACTTGTAATCTGAATAATTCTTATCCCAACTTTAAATCCTATACTAATTTAACAACTCCATGCATGCCTTTTAATAAAATTTACTGTTAAAAGATGCCATCAGGCTCCTTCTCATCATCAACAAAAAGTGTTCCTTTTAGAAATATGTTTCAAGCCTTTGTATGTAAATTCATATGAAGGAATCTGGGGTCTTTTAAAATGTTATTTTGGTATACAGTAAAATCTTATAATTGCATGCCTTTTTAGACATTTTTATTTCTCACTTTTCTGTTTGATTCCCAGAAGAGATTGCAGCGCCTCGGTGCCATTTTTTAATCCCACTAAGGCTGCTTCCTTTTATCCTTGCCTTATTTCTCACTTTAATCATAGCAACAGCCATTGCCTTGAGTGGTGAGTACAAATTATTTATTAGGTTCTCAGTTAACCATCAAACAGTTTGCATTTTTCATGAATCTCCCGGCAAGAATATTAATTGGATACTAAAAGTTGCATCTTGAATTATTGCTGTTGAAATATTGCTAATATTGCTAATAAAAAAACTCTCATGAGCTTTGTAAAGTAAGATAGTCATTAACAAGTCTAGTCTGGTCTTCCCCCAACTTGATGTGCTCCAGAGATGTTGGATTTCAGTCCTCAATGATTCCCAGGAAACCTGGCCAAAGTACAAATTGCCTGGGAGATCATGGAAACTGAAGTTCAGCTACTCTGAAGGCAACCTCAGCCCTGGGAAACAGGTTATTGCAGAGAGTCAAATCCTTCTTGAGACCCATTATATGATTTCAATTTTGTTGTACTCCCACTTTTTCCTAAGTATTTCAGGTATCTGCTAGCTTTCTTTCACAAGGTCAAGCACCTGAAAGTTTGCCAAACTTTCAACATTTCTATTGCTATGCAAATGTCAACATACATAGATTATCTTTCTTGGGGCATGCAGTCACATTGACCACACATAATACCACCTTAGTTTATTCATCTAAGTATCAGCAATCTTGAAGTGGCACTGGATTTTCCCCAGTCTCTATTTTATTATGGAATGGTGTCTTATTTTAAGAGCCATCATAAACTAAGAAAAACCAGGGGAAAATAATTAACCAAGCTTTATAGTTCACACAAAGCTGTCAGTATAGAAGGATTGGGTTATAAAATAGACGGGGAATAGACAGACTCACAAATATCTATGTAAACATTTTTTATTGACAGTGAATGAGTGTTAGCCATTTCACATTGTACAGCTGATTTTTGTTGCCATATGAGAGTGTGGAGGAAAAGCAAATGGGAAGGAAGGAGAATCTGGATGGAGAAAGTTAGAGAAAGGAATGGGTTTTTATTTTAGCTTCCATCACAAAACAATTATAACATTTCCTTCTTTCCAATGTTCAGACAGAGGAAGGTTGCACACATAATTCCTGTTCCAATTTGTGAGGGTCAATCAAATATCAAAATGTTGCTGTTTCATTGTAGATGGTATTTTGAATGAACAGCATAATAACATTTGTAACCACAGATGATTCTTCAATGTACCCTTTTTCATTTCTTCCTTATGCATCTCTTTTCTTCACGTGTACATTTTTTAATAAATCTGGACCTTGTGGTGATTTAATACAATATGCTTTTTTCAGTTTATTTCAATTGCAGTGGGAGGTTTCAGTGCAGATCTTCCTTTAAATGTATTGATCAAACAGCAAGGTGTGATGGCGTCTTCAATTGCAAAGATGGAGAAGATGAGTACAGATGTGGTAACATTCAGTTTTATTATGGATGTTATGTGCTATTTCCCCTCAAGGCTTGTTTTGAAGTGAAAAAGAAAGACTAATCTGTGGCAATTTCCACATTAAGTTTCGCGCTGTAGATAATATTCCACATTACTAAAAGGAGAAAAATATTTGCTCCAGGAGATCCTTTTGAGGAGGAAATAATAAAATACATATAATTTTTCCTTCTCAGTGGAGCATTTTTTTAATTTTGAGAATTTAAAATTCCTGCCAATATGAATACAATTTCTTTATTGTGCACTCATCAGGAACTACAATTTTAACTGAACATGTGCAGAAAAGCTACCATTTTATACAATAGTGAAAAGAGCTGTAGAGATGACCTTGCAGAAATTATGTGAAGGCAAAGTGATTTAGGAAGAAAACATTATAAAGAACTCAGTCCAGCTCTGTCTTTACTCTCTTGAGTATAAAAGGAAGGGAAGAATAAAGTAGCTATATTTTCAAGTTTCTGTTATTTATTAGTAAAGTAGTGCTCTGATATTAGTTGTGGAGCCTGTTTCCTTGAGCTTGCCATAAAGAGGTGGCAAAGGTTAAGAGGGCTCATTTATTCCAGAAGCAGCATTGATTGCAAAAACTTCTTTTAAAAAATCACATAACAAAGTTATGCACAATATTATATTTTACTTCCTGAACTAGTCTACTAGAGGTCTTACCCAAATAGCGTAAAGAGAGAAAAGCAAGAAGGACTTAGCTGCTGCAGTTGTCCTGTCTTTACAATAATGATTATTAAACACCTGCTGACTTTTTTTGTGTCTCCCTAGTCAGACTGAGCGGCAAAAGGGCTGTGCTGCAGGTGTTCAGTTTTGGAACCTGGCGGACTGTGTGTTCCGATGGCTGGAAAGACAACTATGGGAATGTTACATGTAAATACTTAGGATTTTCAAGGTATTACTTAGCAATTTTGTCAAGTTACAATGGAAACAAAATGAGTCAAAATGTAATTTTGAAAATTTTTGATATACAGTGAACATCTTTGTTGAATTAGCTTTTGCGTTTGGTGTTTCTTTTTTAATTACTGATTTTGATAAGCAATGACACAGTTTCTGAAGATATTCAAAATGTTAGAAAAACTTTGCCAAAATGCAATAGGCTTGGTGTTGCTGACAATTATGTTAAACCTGCCAGGAATTTTTGACACAGTGCAGCACTGGAGACGTAGGCCTTCTCTTTGCAATGTTTACAACTGGGCAGAACAGGGCACACTATAAAATAGTCTTTCTGCTGCAAAAGGGAAAATGAGATGCTGGTGCTGTAATATATGGAGAAGATGCTGGGGATGCTGATGAGAATGAAACTCCAGCATTCTGAGAAGGTTGTAGATTTGCTATCCTGCATTAGATTTGTTTTACTATTATAATCTATCCCAGATTTCAAAAGCCAGGTAATATAAGAAATCTTAAATATAAGAGTTAAAGATGAACATTTTACTTTAACATATTGGTTAATTCTTACCTTCTACAGTTTTGTAAGCTCATCTGGCTTCCCAGTGGCTGCCATTGAGAATGAGTTCCAGAAATATTTTGTAACTGCAAATCGTTGGTTATCAGCTGATCAACTAACATCACCACAGAATGCTACTGATTTACGGTATGTTTCAGATGCTTAGCTTCAGAAAGACATGCAAATGGGGTCCATGGGCTTCCATGGAACTGCAGAATCTAAACCTATATTATCTGCATGCATGAACTATCACATAATGCTGTTAGATAAGATGCCCTGTGTTACTGGGTTTTACCATTTCTCAATTGGCAAATTCGTAATATGCATTGATTCCGTTCTAAAGGAAATATTCATTGATTTAAAATGTTTTCCCATCTTCAATTGAATAGAACAACTAAAATAAAAGTCATTATTCATTTCAATTCTCATTCCTAAGTCTTTGCAGGGAACAAGTAGCAATGAATTAATTAAAGTGGCCAGTCTCTTCCTGGAGTTAATTTTAACACGTGTCCATGTAAAGGCTTTGTGTAAGTAATGTGACCTCGCTCATATCCAAAATCATGTATATCATTATTCATGATCTGGATATTCTTGGGATCAGAACACCAAAGAATTTACATCTGGGAGATTCCATTTTACCCTGTTTGGTCTTTAATATGGAAAGGAAGTGCTCATATATTCAATTAAGTAACTCTTTCCATATATCTATGTGGAAATATGTATTAAATATGGAAATTCAGACTTCCAGTGATGAACTCATATTGGTGTTGGTAAAGACTATGCTGACAAAATACTTACAAGATTGAGCCAATAATCTTTAATAGACTTTACTTTTTTCTGTTTCAGAGAAGAATGTATTTCAGGCAATGTAATTGTCTTAAAATGTTTAGGTAAGTAATTTGGGAAATAGTATAGAATATTAACCCAATTTCCTCACATGAACTAGGGAAGAATGCAGATGTCCAAGTATAAAGACTGGAAAAAATCATTGTGTACAAGTTTAGTTTTAATGAAGGGCAGCTATACAAAACAAGATTGTCAGTTTCAATTAATTTCTGTGAATCTTATGGAAGGGAACTTTCTGGTGGTGATGCCTCAGTTATTAGCATGTTTGGTGTAACTGCAGTCCCCTAAAATGATAAGGACAAAATAAGGATAACAGCAACAACAATCATTTGGATGAATAATATCCCAATTCAGGATTATTCAGAACTAGAAAGATTAAATCTTTTCTATTAGATAAATTAAGAATGGGCATTTTATAGTGACCGGTATATGCCAGTGATTTTATTTTTTCATTCTGCCAGCATGTGGTACCAGGATCTGGTACTCTCCACGTATTGTCGGTGGAAATGTGTCCCTGCTCCAGCAATGGCCATGGCAAGCCAGCCTGCAGTTTCAAGGATATCATTTGTGTGGGGGGTCAGTCATCACCCCATGGTGGATTGTTACAGCAGCCCACTGTGTTTATGAGTAAGCATCCCATCTAGAATACTATTTTCTACACATTTTGTGATGTTATCTCCAGTTTCCTGTTCCAATTTCATTGTTCTAAAATGCATCCATATGAATTCTCACACTGGATATTATCTGAGTTTTATCGACCTCCGCACCTTCCGCGCCGACCTAAAGACATGACTTTTTCACCAACTTCCCTGATCTGTTGTGGATTTTAACTTGGGGACTGGGGATTTTAAATTGGTTTTAATATTATTTAACTCTTACTTATTGTCGGGTTGTTTTTATTGTTGTGAGCCACCCCGAGTCCTGCGGGAGAAGGGTGGCATATAAATCTGACAATAAATAAATAAATAAATAAATAAATAAATAAATAAATAAATAAATAAATAAATAAATAAATCTTTCTGGTCTTCATGGGTTCAGCCTACATACACGTTTGCCATCTTCTGAAAAGGTGGTCTCTCTGTTGTTTTTTTAACCTTACCATGCTGCTTCACATTTTGCTTCACAACAGCAGAAAAGCACTAAGATTTGTCATCTGTATATTTTAGTTATAAGTACTTTTCATTACAGCAATGACATGGGAATCAACTTTCCTTGATTGTTTTTCAAAATACTGGTGTGATATAGAGAGGCAACTAATTATTGCCATCTTATCCTGGTTGAGCCTGAATGGCTGGATGTAGGCTATAAGCAACTTTTAAAAAGTGAATAGATGTGATACAAAGTCATTTTCACTTACCAAAATGATGCAGTTATAATTTCATATTACACAGGAGACATCAATTTGGTTTTGTGCTTGTGCTGTAAACTTCTGCAACAGCGTCAATGGAAACCTTATATTTTCTTTCTACTTTTCTTACAGAATCACTCTGAGTTATATTTCAATGGCTATCTTCAAGCACAATGTCTGTGGAGATTCTCAGTCATCCAGGTTATGGTTTTCCCCAAAGGTGCTTTTTCAAGAGGCAATGTGCTTTATTTTTCCTTGAACACATTTCGAAGACATCAGAACTGAAGAAGCTTCTTGGATCAGAAATGAAACATCTTCAAGGAAAAACAAAGAAAATCCAGTTGCCTCTTGAAAAAGCACATTTGGGATGATTTTCAAGCCTGGTTTTGATGTTTTAATTTGAATTCTGGAATTAATCAGGAGGATGGAAGTATTTGCCAAAATGTCCCTGAATGTTGCTGTGAAAAGGTGGTGATGGTGGGAAATACAGTATAAGACTTCTGCTGACACTACTTGCAGATGTTTATACAAGTAGTCCTTGACTTACAACTGTAATGGAATTTGGAATTATGGTCATAAGTCATTGCAGTTGTAAGATGAGGCATCAAATGACCAGACCCTATTTTTCATCGGGGTTTTTTTTTTTTTTTTGTGGTATTGCTTAAGCAAATGCCATGGTGATTAAGAGAATGCTGCGGTGATATGATATGATATAAAATATATGATTCATATGATTCTATATTTTTGGAAATGAAATCTTATACATCAAAACTTATTGAACATAAAGTTCAAAACTTTACACATAGCCAATTTTAAATGTTGAAAGATATTAATTTCTTTTTATTTGTAACTTTTTCACTAAAACAGTTTGTACCTACCAGGAGCTTGGACTGTTCATGTGGGTTTAGTAATCCTGGAAGAAAGTCCTGTTAACCCATACTTAGTGGACAAAATTATATACCATAAAAATTATAAGCCTAAAACAATGAAGAATGATATAGCATTGATTAAACTGGCTACTCCACTTGCACTAAATGGTAATTTTGACTCCCTTGATTTTCTTTTTGTCTTGTTTTGTATTTAAAATTCATATTGAGAAGGGTAACCTAGATTTCTCATGTGTATTATTTGCTACAGTGATAACATTCACTTTTGGAAAGTATTCACTTATGGAAAGAATATTATATGACCATGAGAAAGTGAGACCTGTAGGAAGTTGGAATATTCTTTTTATGCTTTTCATTTCTCTTAAATACTGTGTATTTGCCATGGAAACCATTTCCAGAAGGCTTCTGTTCAGGTTTCTGATGATGTGTGATCTGATGCTCATTTTGCAGAAGCAGTTATGATGGAGAGGAAGGAAGGAAAGGTGTGGGTTATGATTCTTATCTCAGTACAACTGTCCTCTGGGAGAGACAACCAAAACCCAATTTGCAGAGAGAGACTGTTTCGTAATCTGTACAATGTTAAGAGTAGTTGAAGACAAGCCAAGAAGACCAAGAAACATGCCTTTTGTTCTTCCTTTTCTGATAACTTTTCGGTGAATGAGAGTTATATTTTCAAAATAAAATCTAGATTTTAGAAGTTATACAAAGTATGCAGGCTCATTTTCCCCCACTAATAGTATCATTTTATATTTTACTCTTTTCATCATTTTCAGTGAAATGGTTTTATTTTATTAAGTTATGCTGTTTAGAATGGATTTGGCATTTTTATTCTACCTTCAAGTGTTTCCCAAGTGCTAGGCAGATGTTGTTTAATGGTTAAAGATATCATTCTTATTATTTTACGGGTTCATGGATTTGAATAGATTCCAATTGCGTAGAATTGGATTTTTAATTCAAATAATTTAAAAACTAGATGTTCAATTCAATAATAGGAAGTCTTTTGTCACTTTCCCTACCCTCTATAATCTCCCAATGCTGTAGTTCTACAAAAGAAGTATTCAAAAAAACTGTATTTATATGTTTAAAAGTTCTGAATCTTTAGAAAAAAGATGAGGGATGTGATCTCACAGTGAGTGTTGTTTGCTTAAACAGGTCTTGTAGAGCCAATTTGCCTTCCTAATTTTGGAGAACATTTTCCAGAAGGGAAAATGTGTTGGATATCAGGATGGGGAGCGACAGAAGAAGGAGGTATTCATTTAAGTCTTTGAAATTTTCTCAACCAAACTGTCACATGTAAAAAAATTAATTCAAGACATTCCCATAAATAAACTTCTCAATAAACCCTAACCCTTTATTTCTAAAACAGAAAATAAATTCATAAACACAAAATGGAAGTAAAATTACTATGAGGTGTTAATTATTGCTTTATGTACAAGTAGTCCTCAACTTACAACCATAATTGATCCCAAAATTTATGTTGCTAAGAGAGAAATCTGTTAAGTGAGTTTTGCCCCCTTGTATGACTTTTCTTCCTACTTTTGTTAAGTGAATCATTGCATTCTTAAATTAGTAACACAGTTGTTAAGTGAATCTGGTTTCCCTATTGATTTTGCTTGTCAGAAGGTCGCAAAAGGGGATTGTAAGACTCTGGAACACTACAACTGTCATAAATATGAGTCAGTTGTCAGGCATCCAAATGTAAATCACATGACCATGGGGATGCTGCAATGGTCATAATGTGAAAAATTGTCATGTCATTTTTTCAGTGCTGTTGTAATTTTGAATGGTCACTAAGTGAACTGCTGTAAATTGAGGACTACCAACTTACCAACCATTTTGTACCAACAAAATAAATAAATGATTAGAAATATGAAGATCATCTCCTATCTCCTACTTTATCTAAGGTAAAAGACTGCAGGAGATGTTCCAAGCATCTGACAATACCAAATTGTCTACTTCCTAAAATATAAATACCACACATCACTTTTGCAATGTGTGGAAATTTGATTAGTCTATTCTATAGGTTGATCTGAATACAATTAATTTTTGATTTTGCACTCCTCTGAATTTTACATTACAATTCCTGCTTAAAAATTACACACATTTTAAAAAAAATATTTAATTTTTTTTAAAAAATATTTTCATCCTGTCATTTTATGTTGCCAAGGTAGCAAATATAAATACTCCCTTCTCCTCCTCTTTTCCGCACAACAGCCCTGTGGAGTGAATTGGGTTAAGGGAGAGTGAATGGCTCATGCCTAAGGCAGGACTAGAACTCACAATATCTTGGTTTCTAAGGCCACACTTTAACAACTAAACCAAACTAGCTCAAAATTGCATTATATTAGGACAAGTCACAAAATGTGCATAGTAGAAAATGCTGTGTACAAAAAATGCATATCATGAAAAACATACACAACATGAAAATAAATCCAATCTTTTTTGTTTTTAATTGCAAAAATTATACAGTAATGACAGGCGTGTGTTCTACTTACCTTTACTACTGGTTCACAACAGGATTGCGCTTCTGGCATGCGCAGATCGTCTATGACGGCATCCGGATGGGTGGGCAGAGCTCCCCCCCGGTTTTACTACCGGTTTGCAAGAACCAGACCAAACCGGGGGCAACTCACCACTGAGTAATGACTATAATTGACCTTATACAAAATAAGTCAGATTGGGAAGACTGCTCCATTTCTGATCCTAATTTACATCCACTGGAATGTAGTGGGGATTAATTTCACCCCTAGTTGAGATTCATAATTTAATGTTTTTTTCGTTGAATGTCTGGTTGAATGTCAAAATTCCTTCTAAACAAACAAACAAACAAAAATAGTTGATACAAAGGACCCATCTTTTGTATCATCTACAAAAGATCCACCCATCTTTTGTATCATCTACAAAAGATCCACCCATCTTTTGTATCATCTATCTTATAAAGCAGCAATACATATACATAGTTAATGAATAAATAAATATATTTACATTTATTTATGAATATAAGACTAATAAAATATATTAAATTGTAGGAAATCTTTTTAGGATATAGTTATATTTTATTATTGCTTCTAGCTTTTTTTTTTTTTTACAAAACCATCTTATCACAGAAATGGAAAAACTAATTATTGTCTTGGGATATCAGGTGATACTTCAGAAACCATGAAATATGCAGGTGTTCCTCTAATTTCTAACAAAGTGTGCAATCATGGAGAGGTCTATGGAGGAATTGTAGCATCATCAATGCTCTGTGCAGGTTATTTAAAAGGAGGTATAGACACGTGTCAGGTAAGAACATTTCTTATTGCTACATGTCTAAATTTTATTGTTGATTAAATGTTCATTAAAAAAAAGCTCCTCTGCTGACGTCCGACTGATGTCACGGCGAGATCGGACATGAGGAGTGGGTCTCCGTGCTCCCATGCAGAGTTGTCCCTATTGGAGGGCTCCAAAAGGAGATAAAGCCATCCTGTAGGGGTGGTGAAGTAAAGAGAGGCGCCCTGCAAGTCGCAGAAAGCTTCAATTCTCCTGTTTGACCCAGGGCTTCTTCCCTCTCATCCATGACAAGGAGAAAAGGCAGCCATCATGGCTCCCATGAAGCTGGGACAGACGAGGCAACAAAGAAATGTGCAGGAGTGGTGTAGATGAACAATGACTGGAGCTGGGTAAGAAGATTCCTTTTTTATTTAGACCCTAACTTTAAAAGAAAAAAGAAGAAGAAAATCCAGGAAAAGAGACTCTTAAAACTATTTCTTAAAGCGGCGAATAACCATAGAGAGAAAAATTCTAGATCTGAAAGAAAGGAACTAAGGTGAGAAAATCTAAAGATCTTTTAAAACATAGAAAATTGGACTTTTAACTGGGTAGGTGTTCTGGAAAGGCATTATAAAATGTTGGAACTATCTACTTGAATAGCTGACTTTGCTCCCATAAATTGAATTAAATTTAGATTAATCAATTTGTTACACTCAAAACAACGCTGAAACCTAAACTAAGGTTGCCATCTACTGGTGAATGGAAAATATTCCATACCTCTACAAGCCTGCAAAATTTTAGATAAGAGAAATAAACAACATCCATCTAGAGGACTGTGGTGATACACACTGTACTATAACTATCTACTTTATGATTACTGGACGTTATTGTGAGAATAAGGAAGACCTTTAAGTAAAGTAAAGTGACTTTTGATTTTTGGAAAGCTGCCTGGACTACTTAATTAATAATCCTGAGGTGTAAAGAACTATGGTTATTGAACTTTCTGTGGAGCAACATTGGAACTGAATATATTGTTTTTGGACTATTGAGTAAGAGCGGGACTTACCAAAATAAGACAAGATGCTCCTTCAGGGGAAAATGAGTGAGATTTCAAAAGAAATGGTGTTGATGTTTCAAAGCATTAGGGATACTATGACAAAGAATCACAGAGAGATGAAGAACCTAGTACAAGGCATAAATGGAAAAAGAGAAAATATCTTACAACTGATAATGAATGAAGATCAAAGAGTCCAGGAAAGAGATGAGACAACAGAAAGAATGGAGGAAAAGATAGAACAGACAAATCAGCAAATAAAGCAAGGAGATGAGAAGAAGACAACAAAGTTAATAATGACTGATGAAATAAACCAAGGGAAAAGTACTTTAAGAGATTTAAAAATGGAATAGGATAAGCTGGAAGATACTTTTGAAAGGGAGATAGGGGCTTGGGTGAACACTCTGGAGACCTGGCAGCTTAAGGGGATAGAGATGGGAGAAATATTCAAACTGAATGGTGAGGAAGCAGATGTTGATAAAGACAAAGATCTAAGAGAGGAGTATGGGAGGCAAGCTAAAAAACTAATAAGAATTGAAGTATTAAAATGGGCAAGAGATGATGGATAGAAAGGATTTTTTTTTCTAATATAATGATGGCCCGGTTAAAAACTAGAATAGAGATAGAAATAAGAATGTACACTTTTATATAAAGCAATAGTTAGATGGAAAGATTGGAGGTTGAAAGATGGTATTATTATGTATGTTTAAATAATATGATGATCGGTACTAGAATGGTATATTGAAACGTTGAACAACCAAATAATGAAGGACTATGTCTTAATATAAACATGTGTATTAACACTAGGATTAGTAATGATGGCCTGACTAGAAGCCAGAATAGAGGTAGAAATAAGAAACAGGGGGAATATTAGCATATATAATGTTTATATAATAAGCAATAACTAGATAGAAATACTAGAGGCTGGAAGATGGCATGCTCAAATAATATCATTGGCATTAAAATGGAACATTGAAATATTGAATGACTATTTTAAAACAAACATGTATATTACTACTAGGATTACATAAATTTGATTAATATAACAAATATTATTAATATTATTATCGCTACTTGTATCAAAATGAATTATACCCAGAGGCCACACTGTTCATGTAAGGATATTGATGTATGTTTAAAAATAAAAATCCAATAAAACTTTTTTAAAAAGTCCTCTGCTGTCAGTCTTATGCAAACATATTACCTTTTAAAGAAAACCTCTAAATGGCATTTGATGACAAATTTTCTTCACCTCAGCCATAGAAAAAAGTCCATGGGTCACATCAGCCTGTGATCAAATTATAAATGCATGCAAATAGAAATGATATAGGACAGAGATGGCAAACTTTTTAGAAATCAAAGGCCCAAACTGCAAGCCAAAACCCGGTTATTTATCGCAAAGTGCCATCACGGCAATTTAACCTGAATAATGAGGTTTTACTAAAATAATGATAAACAAGACAGAGTTCAGTTAATTGTTCTAAGAAAAACATGATAAATGCACTTTTATGCCCCTTAATTTTTTTCTGCTTTTGAAATATTATGTTTAGCAACAATAAAAAAGAAAAACTTTTGTAATATCATTTCTCTTTTCCTCCCTCTCTCTCCCCCTCTTTCTCTCTTTCCCTCCCCCTCTCTCTTTCTCTCCCTCCCTCTTTCCCTCTCTCTCTTTCTCTCTTTCCCTCCCTCTCTCTTTCCCTCCCTCCCTCTCTTTCTCTCTCTTTCTCTCTGTCTGTCTGTCTGTCTGTCTGTCTGTCTGTCTGTCTGTCTGTCTATCTATCTATCTATCTATCTATCTATCTATCTATCTATCTATCTATCTATGCATCGGTGCTGTCCTGCCCAATTTCACGTGTCATGTGAATCCAATCACTTGGGCTGTGGAGGGGGAGTGGAGGATGGCAGGCAAAGCCAAGCATTAGTGATCCATGCAAAATAAGGCAACTCCAACCTGGATCCTGTCGGGGAGACACCCCCACTTGCCTCTCCCTCTCTCCCCGGTGGGGGCGTGGGAGGCCTGAGCACTGCTTCCTCCTTGGAGGCAACCAGCAAGCAAACAAACATGGTGCTCCGGCTGGGAGGTGGCGATGTGGAGTCCCACCTCTGGCCGATGAGAGCGGAGCAGGCAGGGCACACACCTTGCCCGCTGCCACTGTGGCATATAGAGCCACATTTGGTGGAGTTTGCAGGCAGGCTCAGTGGGGCCGCTTAACAGTGGGGGAGACCCCAGTCCATTTGGTTTGCTTCAGCATGGGGTGGGAACACAGAAGTTGGAAGAAATCCATGCCTCTCGGCATTCAGCCCTCAAAGACTCCTTTTGGGTGACTGGGAGGGGAGGGTGAGGGATGGGGCCAGCCAGTGGTGGGATCACATGACAGGGAGCCACAGTGGAGTGACGAAAGAGCCCGCGGCTTGCCAACACTTACCCTATGGCATACTGTGCTGGGACGACGGCACATGTGCTCACAGATAGGGCTGTGCGTGCCACCTCTGGCATGCGTGCCATAGGTTCACCACCAGGAATATAGGAGATGTAAGGAAACATCACTGGAAATATTGTAAATTAAGAAATTCACCCACCATGTTTTGTTTAGGAGAACGTAAGAAAAGGAAGGATGGCAAGAATCCAAAGCTTAGCCGTTAAATATAAAAGAACTCAGTTTCAGTTTTTGGCAAAGATCTGCTCCTGCTTCTTACAGAAATATCCCTCTTTATATGTGTTGCCTCTGGAGATGGTGGTTTGGGATTCTGGGCATCACTTCCTACTCTTCTATGGAGAAGCCCAAGTTGAGGGAGACAGTAGAGAATAACCATGATAAGCTGATAGGTTATAATAAGCTGTATCAATGTTTCTCAACCTTGTCTGCATGAAGATGTATGGATTTCAGCTCCCAAAATTTCACTCATCTTCAAGTGGCCAAGGTTGAGAAATACTGAGCCGCATGACAATGACAAAAAGACGTTTCTTTTTTCATAAAACATTTGTCAGATTCTCAGAAAAGTCATGCTGTGAACTCATCACAGAGACAGTCTTCCTCTTCATTTGCAGTTGCTAAGCAGCTTGAATAAAAGCTGACGCTTGCTTGCTTAATTAATTGCTCTACTGATTTCTAAGATGGTAGTGCAAGTATGGTGTAGGATAGCAAATGTTCTCAAGACTATGAGTGCTCAGATAATTATCAACAATATTTTTCAGACACGGGCACATTATGTTTTTCTCTTTCTCTCTTTCAGGGAGACAGCGGGGGGCCATTGGCATGCAAAGATATGAATACTTGGAAGTTGGTGGGAACAACCAGCTTTGGGGTGGGCTGCGCAGAAGAAAACAAACCTGGAGTCTACAGTCGCATCACCTCATTTCTGGATTGGATACATGAACAAATGGAGGTTTACTCTCTGATAGTTTCTTTTCTGGGCTTAAGCGTATTTTATCCAGTGGGAGCAGGCAGGCAATTATGTTTCCTCCCTCCCCACCCCCCCGGGGCATCAGTAGTGGGGGATAAAATAGTCAATATGGCAGCCACTACTGTGTACTCAGATCCCAACCCTTTTTGGTATCCACCAATGTAAAAGGAAATGGACTTCAATTATGTGGTTGTGTTCGCCATCTTAATTCCTTCCTCCCTGCAGATGTTCATGTTTTTCTCTGTTGCAAGTATGTGAATGGCACAACAGAAAAGGATTTTGCTTCATCTGTAGCTGATTTGATACCATATTAAGTTTGCAATTGTAAGAGCAATTGTTGAAATCCAGTGTTTATTATGTGGGTGGGAAGAAACCAAGCCCAATGCTTCATTTCTATGAGCAGGAGGAGAGACTGATAAAGTGCAAAGATTTATGCCACAAGGCTGAGTGCCAATTGAACTTTGATAGTATGATAATCCTGCCGCACCCTAGTAGGCTTCTATTTATCCAGGGATAAAACATGAGAAAGATTAGATTTGCAGAGTTATGCTTAATCATTTCCTGCTTGGTTTTGCATTGCTAATTAGAGGCAATTATTTCAGAAATATGAGTAAATATTCCTAACAGAGTAGCAGGCTTCATGCAGGGCACCTCCCAATGTAATAGTTCACTTATCTGCAGAATGACAAACAACTTGAGTGATCAAGTCATCAGATTGATGTTATCACTCTTTTATCACTCTTTCTCAGCAGACCTTGCTCAATCCTTAGACCAGTGATGCCAAACCTTTCAGAGACCGAGTGCCCAAACTGCAACCCAAAACCCACTTATTTATCGCAAAGTGTCAACATGGCAATTTAACCTTAATAATGAGGTTTTACTACCTAAAATAATGATAAACAAGGCAGAGTTCAGTTAATTGTTCTAAGAAAAACGTGATAAAAAGAATTTTTATGCCCCTTAATTTTTTTCTGCATTTGAAATATTATGTTTAACAACAATAAAAAAACGTTTGTAATATCATTTCTCTTTCCCCCCTCTCTTTTCCCCTTCTCTCTTTCTCTCTCTCTTTCCCTCCCTCTCTCTCTCTTTCCCTCTCTCTCTCTCTTTCCCTCCCCCTCTCTGTTTCTTTGTCTCTCTCTTTTTCTCTCTGTCTTATCTATCTATCTATCTATCTATCTATCTATCTATCTATCTATCTATCTATCCATCCATCCATCCATCCATCTATCCATCCATCCACCCATCCACCCATCCATCCATCCATCCGTGCTCTCCTGCCCAGCTTCATGTGTTGTGTGAATCCAACCACTTGGGCTGTGGAGGGCGAGTGGAGGATGGCAGGCAAAGCCAAGCGTTGGAGATCCACGCAAAATAAGGCAATTCCAACCTGGATCCTGTCGGGGAGACACCCCCCCGCTTGCCTCTCCCTCTCTCTTCCCCCCACTGGGGTGGTGGTGGTGGCCTGAGTGCAGCTCCCTCCTCAGAGGTGACCAGCAAGCAAACAAACATGGTGCTCTGGCTGGGAGGCAGCAATATGGAGCCCCACCTCCGGCTGGCAAGAGTGGATCAGGCAGGGCGTGCACCTTGCCCACCGCCACCATGGTGTTTGGAGGCGTGCTTGGTGGAGTTTGCAAGTGGGCTCGTTGGGAGACCCCAGCCTGTTTGGCTTGCTTCAGCGCTGTGTGGGAACACAGAAGGTGGAGGAAATCCATGCTTCTTGGCGTTCAGCCCTCAAAGACTCCTTTGGGGTGACTGGGAGGGGACGGTGAGGGGCGGGGCCAGCCAGTGGTGGGATCACATGACAGGGAGCCACAGTGGAGGGACAAAAGATCCCGCGGCTTGCCAAAACCCGCCCTATGGCATACTGTGCTGGGGCGATGGCACACGTGCCCACAGAGAAGGCTTTGTGTGCCACCTCTGGCACACGTGCCATATGTTCACCACCACAGCCTTAAACTATACAATGGGTGAAGTAAAGGAATAAACAAGCTCTATTGTAAATGAAACAGAATCAAAAATTATATGGAGGTGTAATAAAACAATGTAAAGACCAAATGTGGGTATCATGATTAATGTGCCCATGAAAACTGTGATCCCTACATAACAGCTTGTACATAACAGCTGTTAGGCTCTTATCAGTGAATTATAGATGAATAAACAGTTACAATTTTAATAAGTTCATTGAAAGAAGTTTAGAATGTAATGACAATTTAGGAAGAACATTTGATATACATGAAAGCTTAGCCTAGAATCTTTCCCATGGTTTGTCTATGTATGGATCTTCTGATTCTGAGTCATTACCTTTCCATAAACTTTGGAGATGCTGATTTTGCAGATCTATGTGGATATGTTCACTAGTAGTATCTCCACATGCGTTTTACAGTAAACTGCATTAACAATAACAGCACTCTTCTGTAATGAAGAACATAGTTATCAACTAAGAGGAATTATACCTTTAAGCTTTTTCAACAACAGACGAAGAAAGGCACAAGTGGTCAATTTATTCCCATGAATTACATTTAGAGTAAATGAAATATTTTAAGTACTTGGACAAAGTTTTTCATGCCTCTAGGAAATTAACCATCCAAGTAAATTCTGGCACTTCTACTGCCCAAAAGAGCATACTATAAACTAAATTTTATAGGAAACGGGGCAAATTACATTCCAGCATCAGTCAAGCTGTTTATGGCCAAAATAGTTCCACAGATTTCATGTGGGATGCAACATGGTCCATATACAAACTAAGGGCTTATGAAAG